CAAGTCCAAGTGCTGGCAGCCCATGGGACTACAAGAAGCAGGACAGATTAGGGTCCTTTTGGCCAACTGAATATACAAATTCAGATTTGCCTGGAGCTCAGCCAGAACCAAGGGTTAAAAATTCATGTCGAATCTGGGAGCCCAAACAGCCTATTCTAGAAGCTCTCAAGCAGTCCATAGAGTTGCTAAAACCGTTCCACTATGGCTACAAGACGTTGCATGCGGGGAATTACACTTGCAAAACAGCTTTTGGTAGGACTTGCCCTGCTCAGGTTCACAACAACTACTGGCAGGTCACCCCGGAACTTCCTGCTGAGCTATCAACATGACCTGCTGGGAGTTTTAGGTCTACAGTGACACAAGCTGACCATACACTAATAGATTCCTGCGGGCTGAACAGCATGGATGGAGGACACACACACCAGCCCCCCACCGCTGTCAAAAACCCAAACAGCGACTGGAGCCGATTGGCAGGAGTTATTTTGGCCGACAATTTTTGGCCTGTCTCCACATCCTGTAGTAGAATATGCCAAGTAGCGGTTAGGAGAAGGACTGGTGGGTCAATAGGCTGAGATCCCCCTACTGCTGAGCAAAAGGCAGTACAGAAATTCAGCTTATACAGGCAGCCCACCTTATAAAAACATAAAACCGGCTAATTCAAAAGAATTAAAGCTAGGAGTTCAAACAAGGTACAAATCAATGAGGGTTAAACTACATGGGCAATTTTACTCATGCTATTGAGCAAAGTAATCTCTAGTTAGTGATCCCCTAATCAGCAATACACTGCAATCAATATGCTGCAAAATAAGGGGGGATTGGCAACAAGATCGGTAATGGGAGATAAAAATCCCCTGGGCAGCTTATTTAGCCCCAAGTCGACATTCACCTGTGTCGCCTATGGCACATATGTACCAGACTAAAGCTGTGACGCTGGGATATATTCTAATGCTGGGAGGAGGATATTAGGACCACTCAAGGAGAGCAAACTAAACATAGTTCAGTTACATAGCTTAAACCATGATTATTAAAAAGGGACACTTGACAGACAAGTGACCCCCCACCCAGGGACTAGGTCCACCAAGCCAAAACAGATTAATACACAGTGACACATCTGTCAAGCTTTGCGTCACTTTCGCTACTAAAAATTGTTGCTTACAACTCTCAGGTCACGTCCAGTAATGTAAAGCATTTCAATTTGAGAAGGGGGAAACAACTCATTTAACTCCCAGTCACCAGCCAAAACAAGCTGTGCACTGGAAGGGATATTAACGAGGGACTACAGACTTCATGTCTGCACTTTGAGGGGCACAAAATATTAAAGCCAGGTGGGAAGCCCTTTTATAATTTGGGACCCATGGTAAGGAGACCGTGCTGGGCCTCTTTTCTAACCCTGGGAAGGTGGTGGGGCTCATTCACTCCAACAGCATCGGGCTTCACTGGGCAGCATAGCCCAAGGCATCTCAACGCAAGAAGGTGGCATTTGCTTTATGTCCTATGGCTTCAGTTCACACAAACACAATACTAAAAAAAAAAAAAAAAAAATAGGACATTTTGAATTTTTGCACACTGCTCCAATGCGTTGTAATGCATAGAACAGAAGTTTAAAGGCCATCTCCGGGCAAACAAAAACACTGCTGGAAATTCCCTCGGAATCCTCACATCTATGGAACCTGCATTAGACGTGATGACATCAGTGGTCCTGAGATCAATGGAGTGGCAGGGAGCGGTCTAGTAGCCCGCCGGGAGCCAGCAGGAGAGGGGATGAGGTGAGTAAATCTGCTTTACATCAGTCCCCTAGACAAAAATGAGCACTTGAACCTTGCAATACGGGGATAGCCCCACTGCAAGGGTAGTTATTTTCTAGCTTGCCCAGAGATGGGCAGAAAAAAAATAAAATCAATCACTGCCATGTTTTTGAATGCACTGCAGCGCGTGTTCACATGGCACACGTGTTATGCACACAACGCACGGTGTGGTGGTGTGAGTGCAACCCTATTGAGCACCAATGGCTCCACTTAATCTGGCCTCGTGACTTCTAGAATTCACATATTTGTGCAGCAGATTGTATCTGTTCATTTCACCGTTCCACGCCGTCTGTGCTGGCTTTAGCAGGCATCAAGTTACAACGTCTCAGTGAAAGGATGTTGCAGCTTCACGGGTTCCAAACATAAGGCAGCGTGAGGCCTCTCTACCGCGTGCTGTAGATCCAATCTGCTGCGAGTTGAAGTACAAGACTCGCCCTTTCTGATACCAGGTCATTATATTTTATAATTCCAGACCAGAAGCCCGCTAAAGGCCTCCTTCATTGTGTGGTCACCGCACACAATTGTTCCCGCAGGTCGGCAGACCCACACAAACTATGTAACCAACAGGACTTTCGCCTCCCATCACAGCATCTGAATAGCTTTTACATTAGGTCTGAACACATTCCTGTATTTGACAAATTTAGGAAATCTGCCTAACCAAACATCTATGTGAAAGACATGGTCCATACCAGCAGCTTACAACGTGCAGCCCTCACTAGGATTGTTTCTTCAGACATGTATTATTCCTCCACAAACTCCTGCTCCAAATTAGGCTCCGTTCACACCAGGGCGTTTCGTTGCGCGTTTTTCCGCACTGAAACGCATACAACGTAAAATCGCATGTATTCCTATGTAGACTGTTCACACAAACGTGCTGAAATGCGCATCAAAATACACCTGGTGTTTGAACTAGTCCCCGAGCTTCTTTTGTTGCACTTCTCAGCCCATTTTGCTCCATCGACTTTAGTCTAAACGCGCCGATCAACCGATTTTTAGCTACTGCTTTTCACAAGCAGCACTACGGAGCTCACATCAAAGTAGGGCAGGGATGGACAATCAATATAGAATTTAGAAGCCGGTCTGGCCAATCCAGGAGCCAGCTACATTGACAAGTAGAGAAAACCTGAAAAGTGAGGTGCATGCTGTAATTTGTAAGGAGCATTGGCTACCTGCACCTGAGATGTGTTCAGTCCTGTAGTAGGGAATAGTAAGGGTATAATACCAATTTGCTTTAGAGGTTTTTAGGCAAACATAAATTTGAAGCCTCCACAATCTCTCTGGGCCTGATGTCTGTGAGATTGCAGAATAATTCAGTTGCGGCCTAATTCCCTTAAGGTCCCCTTGCTGGGAGAAAGACCTTCATCCCCCCAGTCTGGACAAAAGCACCACAATGAAAGAACTGCTGGTCAATTCCAACCTAATACATTCAGGCCTCAAGTTCCCCACATTAAGATCAACTGCTCATCATCCTACCTGGCACTACCAAAAAGGAGGCGACCTCGTTACCCAACCAAGATATCAATGTAACTGCAGATGAGAATGATTTTTTTCCAGAAATAAAAAGGTCCCAGTTCTAGAGGGATGTTTTTATATCGGTTCCAGCTAGAGAGCTGCCACATGAAAGTGCTTCCAGATAACACCCCAATGCCTAGGACATCATGGCTGTATGCTCCATGGAAACAGCTTTGTGACCTATTCCCCACATGAGAATTATTCAAGGAGCCAGCACAGTAATAAGGCAAGACATGGCAGTTATCCACCAAACTTTGAGATGGTATGGAAAGGCCAGTCATTTAAGGCATTCTACATCCTGTTGCAACATTCAAGTGGAGACAAACATTAAGACAATCAAAGACCCAATTACCCAAAACATGAAACAATTGCATTACTCAACTGAAGTCACACTAGTGCAAAATGGATTCTAACAGGCTTCTATGGGAACTGAATAATGCTCTTTGTACTCCTAGTGAAGAAGCCCGTAGATGTCAGACTTAACCCAACTACAACATAGCACCCAAAGCATCAAACACCAGACAGGCAATGATCATTTTCAACACCACTAAAAGGCGACAAAAATGCATTAGAAATATTCCTACAAAGATTTATGAATGCAGCTATTCCGGACCTCCAGAGATGTGAACAGCCTTCTTGTATTTTACTACTACCCCGGACCAGTCAGTGTGCAGCAAGTAAAGTCAAAACACCTGATCTACGACAGTGAAGCCATTGCATCACTGCGACATCCAATCAGCTAGCATTTTCATCGGGAGAGATCAGCAAGATTTATTAAAACCTCACAGGAGATTGTTTTTGTCAAATAAAATGTTGCCTTGACTAAGAGATAAACAGATGTTTACTGTAGCTCAGGGGTAGGCAACCTTGGCTGTCTAGTTGTTGTGGAACTACAAGTCCCATGAGGCATTGCAAGACTCAGAGCCACAAGCATGACTTTAAGAGGTAGAGACTTCATGGGATTTGTAGTTTCACCACAGCTGGACTGCCAGGGTTGCCTACCCCTGCTGTAGCCAGTAGGCTCTATACAAAAAGCTGTTTCCAAGCCAGGCCATCTTTAAAGAGTTGAAACGCTACCAACCAAGTAAAACCAATCGGTTTACAACTCATGCTATCCGGCATCCATGTTAAAATAAGAAAGACTAATCAATTTACATTTCACCTATGTTTCATATGATGGGCTACAGACAGATTCAACCGTGTTTCCATGGTGCAGCTGTCAGGACTGCAGTACCTCATTGAATGATTCTCTGCTGTAAAACCTCCTTTACTAAAATGCTGATTTATAAAACTATGGCAAGGAAAGCATAAGATTTAGCTGTAGCACTATGTTTTTAAAAATCACTGCTAAAATTCCAATACCATCAATGCGTACAGATATTCAAGAAATTGGTGTGCCCGTTCACTCAGCCAGAGTGGCATGCAGGATAGCCCACGCCACAAACCAAGAATGGCCATGATGCATACCAAACAGAAAGCAATCCATTAACAGTATATGTTTTTTGCATAGGAAGGGCTTTATTTGCTGCGCTTGTGCCGGCGGTAGTTATGCTACGTGGTCGCTTTACACACACACACACACTGTGCTGATAATGGGAAAACGAATCTACAGCATTGCATCAAAACACATTCAAAGTCCCACTACCCAGCCTAACCACATGAAAGGGACCACATTGTACTCACATAGTCGTGGAAAGCTTTTGCTTCACTTGAATGTTCACAGGTATCTCTCCTTTCTGGAGCAGCACAGTATAAGTCCCAGAACACACTGCAACAGACAGAATGGATTATTAAAATGTCTAGATAATTACCGTTACATGTCAACTGCTAATCATATATAAATATTGCGATGCATGTCCGATGTTTATCTAATGACACTATTCTACATGCAGTGCATTGCAGAGTATAAGGATCCTTTCACATCAGTGACTTCCCCAAACAAGTTTGGAGGGACAGTAAAATGTGCAATATAAACAATAAGGGAATTGGAGACAGAACCTGGCGCACTGTGAAAGCTTACCAGGTACCACTGAGCGTCTTACGTGATACGTGGAGAGATTCAGGATTCACAACCAACACCCATTGTACAGAGTATTCTCATTCTAGTGTAAGATACCAACATTGGATACCAGAGAAGCATGCTGGATTTACCCAGTGTCTAGAAGAGTATCTTTGTGGTCTCCTCTAGTCATTTTGGGGAAGACCACATCCTGCTTAGAAGAGTTGGTGGGTTGTTTGCAGAACATGTACGAAGTAGGCAACAGTATGGCCAAGGATGGGTGGTAGCTACTTAGAGCGGTAGCATTTTGGCAATAGGTGACGGAGGGATGGTGGTAGTAACTGTTCAGACTGCAAACTGTGGTCTACAACTTTCCACTTGAATCAGAAAATGTTGCTTCTTAGGAGCACAGCAATGAACCTGGAAATCTATCCAACCTGTTCTGTTCTATGTTCTTCTAAACAGAAACTGCTTACGGAATTGGTAGATAAGGTTTTTGTTTTTTTTACCTTTAACCATTTTAGAAGAACACAAATGCAAATTAACCAAATTTGGAATATCTGTACATTTAAAAAAAACAAAAAAAAACCATATGGGACAGATGCAAGTATCACTCACCACCACCAAGAGTGCAAGAAGCCCGGCGGTTCCCCCAATGTGATATTCTTCTCCCACCTTATCTGTAAGACAAACGGGACAAAACCTTTTACAACGGTACTGATCAAGACAGACAACTATATTAGATCTAAAACAGTCATGAGTCATTGATCTTCTACAGCTTGTTACTTTTTTCATACTGGGCTTTATGAAACATCTTCAGCTTCCAAAGTGGATTATCTGATTGGAGGTACAAAAATGATAACCTACGAAAAGAAGAGCAAAGGAAGAGCCCGCTGACCAATTCAACTCTTCACTGTTAACCGACAACGATGCAATTCAAAAAGAAAAATAAAAAGCTCAAAGTCCAGCACTCACCTCAGACAGGAACGTCTGTGCAGATTTCTGGGCGCCAACATGTAGCAAGTATTCGTATACATAAAGAGCAAGCCTGCGAGACAAGAATGAGAAATATGTAAGTGTTTGCATTAAAAGCATGACAATTGCGCAAATATTAAAGCATATCCAAAATAATTGGAACTTAGCAATGTTCAGCTTTTCCTTAAAGGGGAAATCAATTTTTTAGAGAAACCCCATATTCTGCACCCCCCCATTTCCTCCATTGTTCACTCCTCAGAAGAAGACTAACAAAAGGTTCTCAATGTTAGGCATGTCCAGGTAGAAAGCATTGTTTACATCCTCCAGGATCCTGTTAAACAGATGTGTATGAGCTAGACCTAGCCATATAATGGCTTCCTCCAGCACACACGACTTGGATAGCAATGCTCCATGGCAGGTGCCACATGCATAGCAATTCTGTAACAGCCCGAGAATAGAAATTGTTCCTGCACCTCCTTGGCTGTGAGGACCTCCACTAGTCTACATCGACGGTCTGGACTACTGTATAGGAATTACAGAGGGAACTGCAGAAAACAGGGTTTCTGATAAAAGTGCATTCACCCTTTAAAACAATCAGCTCAACATAGAGAGAGATCTATATATCTATCTAGATAAGAATTAAGAAGAACAGGCAAACAGCTAAATAGTTAAAAGTCATATACAGAATATTTTTACTTGACAAAGGGTTTTTCAAGTAGTTCAGTTAGTATCATGCACCTCGGCAGAGACGGCGCAGACAGATGCGGACTACTACTGCACTGGCAGCAAATCTTGGTCAGGAAGATGCCTCCAGCCTGCTGATTGGACAGTGAAGGAACAGAACAGAGGAAAGTCATCAGTCTGCTCATGTCTGCCCACCCAACTGGCTCATTTAAACCCCAGAATTCTTTTATCTCTATTCTGGTGGTGGAACCTTGGCAATTGAGATCCCAGGTTTTCATACTTGCTTTTGTTGAATTATGTTATATTATGAAGGATGGCACAGAAAGTAGGGAATGAGAACTGGGAATAATGGCAAAGAAGTCTCACCGCTGCCTCAGAGGCAATTAATTACACCTAAAAGCAGATGTCACGCAACATGGGCATAGGAAGCCTATACCAAGACACATGGAGGCCGCCATTGCTGAACTTCTACAAAAGCCGATTTCCTGGCTTTCTCGGGGGTTTAATACTCTTAGTCACTGACCACAAAGATACAGCCAGAGATATCAGAATGAATAAGGAACTAAAACACGTATTAGTTCCCAATCACTGGCTCAGATCAAAGCCATTGGATCAATATGATCATCGGGCAACTACGAAGTTCAGAATTAAAACTTGTTTTTCTCGCACTACAGGTTCTTTTTAAGGAGTCACATTGTCCACTCAAGTCAAAGTGAGGGAAGCAGACACAGACACTAAGCCTCTGACCGCTTTATACTCACCTCTCCAGTGTCCCCCCTCCACTCCTTGTTAGATCTGAGTCACCACTAACATACCAGGTATTTGGAGCTCATAAAAGCAATGACCCAACCCTTTCTATCATGCCACTGGCCACTAGGTCCAAGCACAGCTCATTAGGAGGAGGTCATGTGCTCCCACATACTGGGAAGCACAAGCTATTTACAGGGCTGGCCACAGAAGAACCAGTGGCACAGAAGCACTGGACAGGCAAGTATAAAGTGATCAGGGGTGAGCTGAATGGGCAAGGTGATGGAGTCTCTTTAAATCGCTTCAAAGCAGAATGACTTTCTACATGGTTACAAAGTTAATTGCTAGAACATGATGGACAACCTTTTTTCGATCTACCCAACTCCTCCAGCTTTGATCCAGAGGAACGCAAACAGATCATCCTTGGAAGGCTAGGTTCAGACCTGAGCAATACCTGGGACTGTGCGATGGTGTGCTTGTGCACACAGCGATTGCAGTGCGGCCTTATTGATTTTAATGGGGTTACATCCGCTCGGCAAATCGCGAAAAACAAAAAGGTGCAAGTACCTTGTTTTGCGACACACCACACGCAGCTTTATTAGTGCCAATTGAACGGGAGGAATCGCGGCGGGAAAACGTGAGATTCCTAGAAAATAATGGCACCGCCAGTGCGAACGGCTGGTGGTTTTGAAGAGCCCTAATTCACGTGATGTGAATGCCAAACCACCTACAAGGCAATGTACAGCAATTCTTACCCAAAATGGAGCAATGCAACTCTGTGGTGGGAATGGACCTAAGTGAGGACTATGTATTTACCCATCACAGCAGTGCCTCCACCCCATAACACAAGATGTGTTGTCTCACATAGTAACTCCTTAAAGAAACTAGAGCTGCAGCTAACGATTATTTTCAAAATCGATTAGTTAGCCGATTATTAGGTTCGATTAATCGGTTAATCGGATAAACAATAAAATAAAGTTTAAAAAATTGCTCCAGTGATGGGAGTACGTATAAAATGTAGGTTACATAAGGGGTGAACAAACATGGAGCTCCGGAGCCAGTCTATCCAATTCAGGCGCCAGCAGGATTTTTTTGGAAGCCAGCTCCATAACTAGAGAAAACCTCAAAAGTTAGGTGCCAGCTGCTGTTTTAAGGAGCATTGGCGACCTGGCTCCTGGGATTTGACCAGCCTATTCTATAGCATTACCCATACCTCCTACCCCCAGTGCTACATAAAAAGGTTATATTAGAGGAGGGGAGGAGGAGCTGGGCCAGCAGTGGCAGTAATTAGAAACTCCTAGAAGAGGGCTGGCTATGACTTGCAAGGAGGAAGCACAATGTGCTAGTGACTGAAAAGTCACATTTGCCAACGAGTTCAAAAAGGTACACTGCAAGCGCAGAAACCATTTATGGAAAGTTTCCAAAATAAATTCAAACCATAAGGGCTAGTTCACACCGGCTCCAGTGCTTTCTGGCACGATTCGTGCCAGAGCGCACTGGATCGCATCCCGGCCGGCTCACTACATTCTGAGGCGGGAGGGGGCGTGACAGTGTATCGAGGTCAATGGCACCACAGCCATGCATGGCACATTAATGCCTGCGTTCCGGTCACACACAAAACAGTCCATGCAGCATTTTTTTCTGACCGCAGCGGAACGCAGGCATTGATGTGCCACGCGTTCCAGTGCGGGGCGACCGTGCCGGAACGCACTGGGGCTGGTGTGAACTAGCCCTAAAAAGGAAGAACAGAGTACAGTGTTTACCTTACAGACCCTCCTCCATGAAATGATGTATAATAAAGTACAGCCATGCTTAAAGCCTCACCCTAGTCTGCTCTCCTGATTCAGACTACAAACACCTCCTCCCCATATCGCCATACATAGGGAGAAGGTGTTTTGTAGTTCACATAAGATAGCTGGTTAAGCTAACATTATTTAAGATTTCAGTCCAGTGTACAGGAAGTGAATGTCTAACAGGTATATTTGGACTTGTGTTCTTGGGTTTAGATACGCTTTAGGCCAGGTTCACACCTGGGCAATCCGTGATCGTGCGACAATGGTGCGCGATACAGTGCGCAGTGCCATACAGTCATGGAGTCGCCCAACTCCGCCGATCGCGGTGCCATTATTTTTTTATTTTATAATGGTACCTTAGTCGCGCCGGGCGGATCACGCGGTTTCCTGCCACTGAACACGATCGCAGCTAAAACAGGTATGTTTTCTGTGATTTCGAATGTAACCCCATCGAAATCAATGGAGCCTCGCAGCAATCGCTGTGTGCAATTGAGCGTCCCGGGACGCGCGTTCTGTATCGCCCAGCCTTGACTTTCACAATCATCATCACAGCTCAAATTTACAGCTACTGACATGTAAGAGTTTGAGGATTATTTTGGCTGCCCCATTGATAGAAAACCTGACATGAAAAAATGGGAGCATCACACTGAGTATTACATTGGTGTACGAGTTCTGATCCAGTTCTGAAGAGCATTGTTCCCTGAATCTCTGGGCCTACGGTCTGGCCAGTCCCATGAACAGGCATCTATGCAAACGCTGCTCTCGTTTCCTCATGTGGCCCCCATGCTGACACAAAATGAGCCAAGAAATCACCTTGCAGTGTATGCCCAGCTTTGGATAAAGTCTGGAAGTATTAGAAACCCTGTTAGGTTTTTATTGCTCCGTTCGACTTTGTTTACCCTCACTTCCTGTCCTGCTGATATTTAGCAGACAGGAAGTGCGGGGAGCTTTGCAACAGCAACAAAGACAAAAATCTAAATTGTTTTCTTTAGCAGAGATGGGGAAGCCTAAAATGTCTGTAAGTTTGTATTCCAGTCTGTGCCCTTTGCAGATTTTTTTTCTCACTTCCTGTTTGGGCAAACCATTTTCAGTAGGACAGGAAGTGAGGGTAAATCTCTCCAACAGAGCCCTGGACAGCCCTAAAAACTTGGCAGGGGGTCTAGATGTTTCTTATTCTGTCCAAAACTATGAACAAAAAAGGTTTTACATAGATGTTAAACTACTTTTTAGGCCACATGCACCCCAGGGAGGTCCCCACCCCCCAACGTTCACTCACAAAAAGTGAACGCACACAAATGTTCAAGCATGAAAGACAAGATGGACGATTCAAAAAAAAAAAATGCATGATGAGAACAAACCTACATAAGAGGTTACTGTGTGAAAAAAAAAAAAACCACATCAGTAGCTTCAGATATATGTAAACCTCAACTTTCTGCAGAAACCTAGCCTGGCCCTGCCCCTTCTAACCCACATACCTCCCTATTGGTCATCTGATATGATTGATGGCTGCATTGACCAACAGGAATTCTCATGACAGGAGGGGGTGGGGCAAAGCTAGACTTTTACAGGAAAAGTCGAGATTTGCATACATAGGCACATGTCTATAGTTCTGAATAGACTGCTTATTCTGACATGCTGCTTCCTGGGCTCCTGCAGCTTCAATCAATAGGTTCAGTTTAAAGCTGAACTCCCGGCAGATATTAAAGTCAAAAGGTTTCTAAGCCATCTCAAATACTTACAATGGACGCTGCTCCTTGATGTTTTAAAAGTTTTTTTTCTTGGAGAATCAGCTGATCCCCTGAGCACTGGCTCCGATATCCTGTTTTAGGGTGGCTCCTTTACCTCACAGGGTCCTATGGAGCCACCCTTGTGTGTGCTAGCAAGTTGTGTGCGTCTCCACAAACATACAGACACAGCAAGGCAAGCCACTTCATTTTCCAAATTAGTAGATGGGCAGCTACTGGAGACTGCTCTGTCCCTTGTGATCTCGTACTGGACAGGAAGTTCAGGGAAGCTCAGCTGAGAGAGTCAGAGCCAGATGTTTGCAAAAACAAAAATACATTCCTGGGCAATTTTTTTTTCATCTGGATTCATTATAAAAAAAAAATTTTTTAGGAGTTCAATACTACTTTAAAGACACAAATGAATGCAGCTCCATATTCATTGATAACTGGAAGATGTACGAGTACCTAAATACGACTTGGTATGAGCCTCTGGCACTCCCTGTACAGCAGAGCTCAGACTAAGAGTGGGAGAAGCAGCACAAGGAACCAATCACTTGTGCTGCAGTGCAAGGAGCGTGCAGATAGGAGAGAGCATAGTGACAGATAAGCTTACCAGTCTGTCAGGTCACAGGGTGGGGGTGGAGTGGAAACCTGTAAGGATAACTGGTAGGGGGGAAAAAAGCAGGTCTCCTCCACGGTCAGCAAGAGATGTGCTGTGTGGCAGGACTGTGCAAGTTCCAGGAGCGGATGGACAGAAATACAGATCCATTGGCAAGTAAGAACAGCCCCTTTTTATGTATTTCATCGGTTTGCCTGGAGTTAAGCATTACAAGCGATTAGAATACAAAAGGAGTAAAAGTTTGACGTTAAATCTAAAACTAGAGCACACAGATTCTGTAGCAGTTGCCCATGGCAACCAATCAGGATCTCTCTTCAGTTTGCCCAGGTAAGATTTGAAAATGTATATGGAAGTATACAGTATATGGAAATTTGTGTAGGAACGCAATTTTTGTTGCGAGCTGTAGAAAGGAAGCAGGGGGAAGGGACGCTTGTGTTACTATGAAGCCGACAAGAGGGGGAAGCAGGAAAACCAAAATTAATTAAACAGGATATAGAAGAACGAGACAAAGAAGCGGAATGTCTGCCCCTCTCAGACAAAGGTGGTGGCGGCCATGTTACCAGGCAGAGCAGCCAATCAAACTGCAAGGTCCAAGTGACATCACTGCGACAAAGTATGTCAAAGGCAAACCAACGTCCACCTGTCACCTTCACAAATCGAGACCTTCAGTGATCTACAAATACTCGTCTTCTAGGTGTGAGTGGCTTCGTCTCGGCTCCGTGCTTCCTCTTATTTGCAGCTATTTACTTTTATTCTGCATGAAGTTGCCATCACCAAGGACGATGCACGCGGACCTTCTACAACACCTTGTTTCTGAGAACTATGCCCGAGTGCTGCAGAACATTGCCACCACATACTTTTAAATGTATTTGGGTTTTCTCATGCACTTTAGTGTAACAGCTCTTGACACAGGATGGGATATATAGATAAAGTGGGCAGAAATTGTTCAGAGGACATTGTTCATGAAAGGGCGGATTCAAACTCATTACACAGATATGGCTGTACAGAAGAACAGAATACTTGGTGCTCAGCGCCGCTCCTGTGCAGAGAACTGGTCACCCAAAACCTGCTGGGAAACAAGACACTTCACATGTGCTTTACTGTAAGGGTTTCACTATGTGACAGGTTCTCTTTAAATGAATACCCCGGGCAATCCATAGAATACGTAAAAAAAAAAAAAGCAGCCAAAAATACCATCATGTGTAAAAAGTGACCGTACACACTACCATTGACTACTTTTTAAACCAAGAACCATCCAAAGTACAAAACAGAGCTGGACATCCTCACGGAGCTCTTCTAAAGTGCTTATGTAAGACAAACAATTTTAGTATAGAATGGACACAGGACTTGTAGGCCAGTTAAAAAAAAAAAAACAAAAAAAAAACCCCAAAACCACCCAGGTAAGTAGAAACATTTCCCATAGTGGACCAATTCTTCTTGGTGACACTTCTCTAACGCCGGCTACAATCGGAAAGTAAATAGGATTGGCTGGTAATGGGAACACCAGAACTCTCCCCTTCCTTCAGTTTGGAACCTCAAAGCTTTGAAGGTGGAGAATAAATAGGAGGACACAACTGTGAGGAGACTCACGCTGTATGAGGTTATAGTTCCCGGTGGGAGGGTAGGAGTAGGAACACCACACGTCACACAGCACAGATGGAGCTCAACACGTCATGTCAAACGCCACACAGCCATATGTGATGTCCTTATCAAGGGAAGCAATAGACGCAGCACATCCAAGATCTGACACCAGAGGAGGGTTTATGGATCGGCAACGTGAGCGGCGAATGGTTGGAAGTGCAGTCACAGTAAACAAGATAAATCTCAGCTTAGAGTAGCAAATAATGCTGAAGACAGAAGAGCCTTAAGGAGGTATCTGCACTAATCAGGTGGACACCACATACTAGAGTTGGAGGACCAGTAGAGAGGTCATCAAAGATCATGGTGAGGACCTACAGTGAATAGTTGGGTAGGTTGAAAAGGTTGGAAGGAGTAAATCTGAGGTGGAGACATCAGAGGAGGTGACCCACCGCAGAAGACTAGACATGGCTGTGCAAGTAAAGAGAAGTGGGGTCATCAAACACGACGAGGGTGATCGGTCATGGCCGATAATGGACACCCTAGTATCACTATAGAGAAGAAACACTAGATATGAATTTTTGGGGTGAACTTTTATTGGGGATACTAGACATCACCCCCGTGTGTAAATGGTTGGAGAGGTCAATAGACGTTCCACGTGTGACGTGAATAACAGACATCAAAGATGGCCAGACATTTGACTGAAGGGGGTGGGATGGTTGAGAAGGAACACTAGACTTCCTATTATATTCCTACTATAGGACATGAGAAATTACAAGGAGGGTCAAGGACTAAAAGACCAGGGACCATGTAGGGGTGAATGAATTTGGGTTACTTAGAGGAACACCACACATTTACAAGCAATATATGGTAAAAGGGACAACACGTCTCTACAGGGGGTGCCGACTACAGGGGCACCAGAAAATTCAATGGAGGTATAAAGGACATTAGAACCTACCACCCGGGGGCATAGTTAGAGGAACATCAGCAACATCCACCTGGGTTGAAGAGTTGAAATGGACACCAGAAATCAGTGCCAG